TCTTTCCTCTATTTCCTTTTACTTTCCTCTTGTCCCACTATCATGCTCAGCCTTCGTTTGGGTTTCCGTAATTCCTCTCAGTTATAGTGCCTTTGATCAAGCCCTACCAGGCCTCTTACACACTTCTCGCTACCGATTTTGGATCACTCGTTGTTCCCTTCTCCCTGGCTTTGTTAACACCACTTCCTTTCCCCCCACCTCCCCCTCTCCCATGTCCCCCCCAACCATCAGTCCAGTTGTTTTCTCCTCCAGATTGTTTATCCTGCCTATCTTATCTAGATAGAGCTGCAGAGATAATAATATGCACAAAAACAAGACAGAGCAAAACAAAGCAACAAAAGAAAACAAACAAACAACAACAAAAAAAACAATGACCAAAGAGACCCAAAAGCCTGTAAATAGTTCAAGGTCTGTTTGTTGACCTTTAGGAATGTTTTCTGGTTGAGTCTGATGGGGTGCCACACCCTGGTCCCAAAGTCTATTTTTGGTATTCCCTTGGGACTTCCTTGATCTGCTCCCCTTGCTGCTCTGTTGCACACCCTTAGTGTTTTGCCTCGGTGTGGTGAGCCCAGATCAGGCGCAATTCCCACACTGTGTCTCCAGTGTTGTCCCCTGTAGGGCTATGGGTCATTGAGGGATGTCCTGTCTCATAGTGAGGCCAGCCATATGGTCCTCTATGTGCATTGGCTGCTCTGAGCAGGGATATCATCCTCAAGGCTTGGTGGGCCAGGATGTGCTCCACTCTCTCTTGCTCCCCCTTCATTTGCTTCGGTGTGCTCTGATCTGACATGTCCCTCTCCCTGAGCTGTAGCTTCAGTGCTGTCCTCTGAAGTAAATTCTTCTCGGGGAGGGGCAGCTGTCCACGTAGTTGGGATTGAGTCCAGAACAGGGCACTAACCCACCCAAGGGGAGGGCTATATCTTCACAGGGAATGAGGGACCAGGCTTCAACCGGTGCTCCAAGATGTGAATGCAACATACCGTCATGAAGCAGGGAACCAGTAGAGAGGCTTTCTGTCTTTGTGGAGCCTAGAGCTTTCTTAGCCCAGGAAACCTAGGTCCACCTTTTTGCTCATTTGTTTAATCACTTTGTACCAAAAAGAGATTGACTCAAAATACTAGACCTGTAGATTGCATCCTGCCTCATTAACATAATGAAACAAAACCCCTCAAAACTCAGGGCCTTCAAGTTGATTCCGATTCATAGTGACCCCATTAGACAGGGTAGACCTACCCCTGTAGGTTTCCAAGACTGTAACTCTCCTATGGGAGTAAAAAGCCTTGTCTTCTACTGGGTGGGCTGGTGGGTTCAAACTGCTGACCTTTTGGTTAGCAGCCCAATGTGTAACCCATTACAGGGCTCCTTATTAACATCATAGAGGTTAGGATGTACAACACATGGGATAAGTAGCAGATAATTGCATAATACTGAGATCATGGCCCATTGTAGTTGGTACATATTTGGCGGGGGTTGGGGAGACTGGGGACTAGGGAGAGATAATTCAAACTATAACAGTAATGGGGGGCTTCAAAAAAGTTCCTGGAAAATAGAATTGAAAGATAATGGCATTTTCTGTGAACATTTTGAAGCCCCTTGTGTTCATTATGAAGTTAGCATTATCATTTCTAGGCAATTCATCACCACCACCTTCATCATCACCAATAATTAGTCCTGCAAAAGTCCTCAGCCTGCTCCTCACTGGCTCATTTTGAATCACATGCTGAGCCCAACCGCCTGTCAAGAACGCATGGGCCTCTCCCTGTGGCTTGGTGGGGGCTGGGGGTGGGGTGGGCTTAGTGTTCTGATTGGTAAGGCTCAAGTCCCATGCCCCCCCCTTCGCATTCTACCCAGATCACAAGGAAGGATTGGGGGATGAGGAGTAGTTTGGGTTCCTAATAAGAATTTAGCTACTGTCCCAAGAAGGGAGAGGACCTGCCTGGCAAACACAACTTAAGGGTTCACCTCTACCCGCCCCACTTTGCTGTTTTTCAGGCAACTTGTACACCGAGGCAGCTGAAGCTGCCATGGAAGCCATGAAGGGCCGGCTGGCTAACCAGTACTACCAGAAGGCGGAGGAGGCCTGGGCGCAGATGGAGGAGTGACGTACCGGGAAAATCACCGCCTCCTGCCCCAAGCTAAAGGGCTGGGGGCCGGCCGGCATTGGAAGGGGGGGCGGGGAAGAGGTAGATGGAATATTTTTAGTGTGTTATAAATCAACTTTTGTATTTCCTATTTTGACTCTTGAAAATATCTTTGCTCCTAGCAAAAATGACTTGCTGCTCCTAGGGCAGCCTCTTGGGGGAGTGGGGCATTGAAAAAGCAGCCTAATGACCTAACATAGGATTTTAAGGGTTTTTTGTTTAATTTCTCATAAATTGTAACAGTGTTTGTTTTTTTGTTTTTTACCTTGGTTGGAAAATACTAGGGCTTTGCTCAGCTGTCAGCTTAGGTTGGACTGAAATCTCTGGGCTCACAGAGCCCTGCATTTCCAGGGGCAGAAGCCTCTGCTCTCAGAACGGACCATCTGCGAGCCACCCGTGTGGCATTTCCCCAAGGTGTGGATTGTACCATACGCAGGCTCTCCTGTGCTGTGGGGAGGGGGGCCTTACACGGATTGCCCACTCACCTTTTGGTTTAATTTCCTTCCCACAAGGCCACAGATATTCTGGGACATAGCCAGATTCCAGTTTTCAGCATACTTCCTGCAGTGGGCTTTCCTTAAACAGGTCTGAATTTGTAATACACACATTTACTACCTCTGACTCCTTCATCAGCTAGTGTGTAAGTGGGTGCTCCCCAGAGCTGGCAGGGTACACCCCTGCACCCCAATGGCAGCATGCGCCTGTGACGGAAGGAACCCTTGTACGGTATATTGCCATGTCGTTCTAGCATCTGATTCCTCTACTGTCTGTTCTGAGCCTGGCCCTTGGTATTTTCTGCCTGATGCTAGGTTGGTTGCAGCTGAATGCTTTCATCAGGTGCGCGTTAAGATTTATCTAAGATGTTTGAGATTAAGGCAAGAGCTATAACACTCATTAATTCAACTCAGTTCTCCTGGGTCCTGTTGGGGCCTTCCTTATTTAAGGAGCTTTCCCTGTCAAAGCAATTCAGAACTAAGATTTGAGCACACCTTCAGAAGAGTGTTTCAAGTAGCAAAGAAAACAAGACAGCTTTGATCAACCCCAAGTGCTGAAGAAACCTCAGCTTAAAAATCACAACATTAAAAACAAGGTAACACCTTCTTTGGCTCTTCAACACTTTTGAATGGAGTGCTGTGGAGTTAGGAACCCAGGCAAACACCCAGTTCCAAAGTCCAAGGGATGCCCTTAAGAAAATAAGCAAACAGGGTCAAGTGTACTCTTGAACCGTCCCTGTCACCCATCCAGGGCAGTTTCCCTGGTTTTTGTATGTAGATAGTGACAGCCAGCGTCCCACTGGAAGCTAGAGCAGTTACCCTGGCTTGTGTGAGAGTTTTTGGGGGGTGTTTTCAAACCAGTACATACAGTTGAGTTGCATCAGTTAAATGAATATTAAAAAAACTTTATTGTGAGTAGTCTCTTCAAAGGAAAGCATCCTATTCATGCTTTTTTTTTGTCCTGCTGGCTCCAAGATGCTGTATCAGCAGCAGACGCAGGTGAAGCCCTGGGAGAGTAGCAGAGACAGGGACACAACCCGAGAGTTCCTTCATTTCAGACGGAGAAACAGAGTGTCTAACGAGTACCGGACTTCCCCAGTGACACTGCCGGGTAGCAGCTAACATAGAGCTCAGGTTTCAGAGCTGCTATGTTATTTAGAGAATCCTGGGAGTGAAAATATAGGTTAACAGGCCCTTTCAGCTTTGCAGCAGACAAAAGGAGAAAAAAAAAATCAGACTGTACAGATAATGGGGGAAAAGGTACCCAAACCTCAGTACTTGTGAATATCCTTGTTACCTGAGGCATTGTGGGAATTTACTGCTAAATAGCTTAGCAAATCAAGCCAGGTAAACTGCCCTTAAACACAGCAATTTTTTGCAACTTGATTTCTTTCCATCCCAGCACACCGGTCTGCAGTATCAGGTATACCTTACAAGTCAGTGAACGTTTGCACAGGTTCTATGCAGCGTGTGAGAAAGGAGCCCTGATATGCATGCTCCCTCCGAAGATACTTTGTTCCTCGTCTCTGAGGCAGCTCGTTCCACAAAGCAGACGCTGGGAGGGACCCCAGAGAAATGGCTTGCTTATAGATTTATTTTTGCATATGTAGGTAGTTTCGTTTCCTCTTTCCAAATAAAGTGGCTCCTGTCTTTCCAGTCTCAAATTCAAAGGCCTGTGGGAGTGACGTAGCTGGGTGGAGGGGAGGCTGAGGCAAACCCAAGGACTCACACAGCATCATTGGCAAGGAGGGCTTGCAACTCCGCTCCCCAGGATTGTCCCTGTGGGAGATGAGGGCCCACTGCCGCTCCACTTCCCATGGTTTTCCCAAGAGCTGCTGAAAACTGGATTTTTTTTTATGCAAAGTTTTTGATTTTTAACATTTGTAATCAATTCTAATAATAAAAAATTCTTCCAGATTTGACCCACCTGCTGTCACTTTGCTTTTCGAGAAGACCTGTGGCATCTCATATCTTGATTTTCTATCTGCAAAATGGATAAAGTAATGTTTGCCCCACAGTAGGGCTGCTGTGGAGCTTTGAAGGGCGTTTTGTGAGCCAATGCATGAAATGTTAACAGCATAACTATATATGGTCCGCTCCTACATTTAGGCCCACCTCCAAACATCCTACAAGAAATGCATTTTTTTAAGTGGTATTGTCCCATGAGGGTGGAGAAAAAAGAGTCAAATACAACCAAATGTTGAATGTTGGAAATCAGATGAATGTAACTGAATTGATGAACCAAAAATACTTAAGTCAACAATAGGGAAATTTGAGAAGGAACCAAATTTTCATCAAAGAACCCCCAAAAGGCCGAGAGAGTGGTGGCACTGGGAACCTTCAGAATGGAGGAATGAAATGAGGCTGAAAATGGAGATTGTGTGACAGACTGCTAGATGTGCTCTGCCCAGTGTAGCCAGCCAGCTGCCTCTGCACCCGGCAGAAGCCTGGGTCTCCAGGGCCTAAACTCGCTGCCAGCGCTTCAATGCTGACTTATAGCTACCATATAGGAGAGGATAGACTGCCCCTGTGAGTTTCCAAGACTAACTCTTTGAGAGAGTATCTTAAAGATACTCTTTCTCCCAACAAAGACTAACTAACTAAAGCACCTCTGGTTTAGTATGGGAAACAGAGAATGTGAAGAGAGTATATATGGATGAATCCTTTATGCTCATATAGTAAGATGCCTGGCAGACTGGATTTCTGGGGTGGAGGGAGACCTTCACCTTTGTGAGTCCCAATCACATCCCCATAATTAATATTGTTCCCCACTGTATGTTCCCATAATAGTGTTACCTTAAGGTTACCTCTTAACAAGCACATGGCTGATTACCATCTGGCAGACAGCTTTAATTATAGGAGCAGACTTGGGCCATTGCTCTCTAGGCTCTGATGACAGCCACTCCCCCTTACCTGCCCTTGGCACTGGTGTTAGGTTGCACCTCCAATGTACTCAGGGACCTTTAGGGTTAAGGTACAGCCCACTTCGTTATGTATGTGGTTTCTTGTAATTAGGGGGGCTTGCTTGGCCCTTAAGTGTATGAGCCTCTGTTGGAAATATATTCTCTGTCTGCATGGACCTGGCTCCTGAAGTCATGACTATGAAGGTGAGCCCTTGCATGCCTTATCTTGTCTGGTGGCTCTTTAATTTACCTTTCAATTACACAACCGTACCTCCCACCCATTTGCTTGCGGGGGGCTGGTGCCCCACAATGTAGGGTAGAAAAAGACCCCCATCTCCAATATAATTTAAGGAGAACACTTTTCAAGTCTCGAGAGACAAAGACACAAACCACATCATTGGGCTGAGGGAGGCCATCAACACAAGGTTAAAAATGGCATCTGAGGATTCACAGTGGGATTATCACGAGATAAATAGGGCATGGAACAAGGGAACGATCACAAAGTCATGATTGGTGGCAGAGAATTACATCACATCTACAGGTGGGACTCCAGAAGGAGGAACTGGACCCTGATTAGGACAAGTGCATTGTTACATAGAAGGGCTTGCAAGATGGGTCCAGGGCCTTCCAAGCAAGGCAGTCATGTGAGCCTGAAAGGGCACGCACGGCTCATGACTATGAAACTGTTCTGTCCCCATCAAAGATGCACCCAGGCAAGCCCCTGAGAGAGACTGCCCTTCCCTGGGCTGGTTGAAAAGGGGTGGAGGTAATCTATTTGCCCAAGCCCTCTACCTGAGGCCAAGATTATCAACATTCTTGTTTAATGATCAGAAGGAATTCAGTGGAAGCGCCATCGAAGTGAGGACCCTGCACACAGATTTCGGGCTGTCACTGCCATCCATAGCCTTCTGCAAACCAGGGTGCTCAGAATTTAGGCTCTCATACAGGAAAGGCTACAGCCGCCAAGCCCATCCTTACCCGCAGAACTTCCCAAACAACCCATCAGAGTGCCATTCTTAGACAGCCAAGGATGGCTGTCCGGATAGCATCTCCTTTGAAAGGCAGACAAATGCAAGTGAGAAGATGAAAGCATCTTATCAGAATGGTGGGGTGGGAGTGGGGGAATAACATTCTTCCAAAGACAGAGGTGGTCGAGAGATCGAAGAAAGATTGGCAACTCCAAAGTGGTGATACAGGAATTTATTAAGGGCTCCCTGACAGAGGCTGATGCCTGGGCAGTGGCAGGGCTGAATTATTTCTGTGTCCGCCAGAGGGAGGCAGAGGATTTTATGATTTATGGTGTGTAGCCCTACCCCGCACCCATGAAACGACATACAGCCTATTCGACGATGAAATGGGCACAAGCATCTCTAACCCTGCAATAAGCCTGTGTTCCTGTGGCCATTTTACAGCTGAGAAAACATTTGCATTAATCAGAAATGAAGATTCAAAAAAAGATCAGAGGCCATCACAGTTCCAGTATAAACAATGAGATTGGCCATGCTGAGGAATTGTTCCCATCAGCACCAGGAAACCCGGGAAGCAAAGCAGAACTTAAATTGATGGAAGAGATTTCCAGGAGTGGAGCCTAGTCATTTGACCCAATTAGCTATGGACAGAGCAGTAGAAACACCCAAGTTAGTCAGGAGCTTGGTTTCTTGTGTGTATCTGCTAACACCCTAAGTCCAGCTTCT